TTACACTGCTAAATTAGGGACGGCTAGCGCAGATAGCCCTCGTGTAGCTTTGCGCGAAATCCATAACAAACAAACAAACAAACCAATATCCCCATTGATGAAACTTTAAATTTAATCGTGGACCTTCTCTTTCCCATTGACACTGAACAGTATCTTGGTTTCGCCTGTAAACAATTCCTCGAACTTCTTGTCCTCTCTACAAAGTTAAACCATTTCCTCTTTAATGACGTCATTTATGACCAGGTAGATGGAGTCGCTTTGGGATCCCCGCTGGGTCCGACGATAGCCAATAGTCTTCTATGCTGTCATGAACGCAAGTGGCTAGAAAACTGACCACGTGAATTCAAACCTTACCTTTACAAACACTATATTGATGACACTTTATTGCTGTTTTGACGATCAAGTCACGTTTCTAAATTCCTTTCTTACCTTCATTCTCAACACCCCAATATCAAGTTCACATCCGAACTCTGTTTATCATAAAAGAACATTTACTGGCCTGTACATGAATTTCAGTAGTTTTGTCCCCAACTTTCTCGTCATGTATATATTTCTGTTGTAATTACAAATATTGTTTTTGTTTTCTACCTCTAGGTTATTGATGATGAAATTATGATGATTCCGAAGCGTTTAATAAATGCTTCTTATTATCACGTTAGTGTTTTATTTTATCACTACATAAACACATGTTAAATAATGGTTACCCGGCTGATTTTCTAACGAAAATTACATGCAATTCTATAAACAACAAATTCCAACCACCAGCCAATGTGCACAGCGTTTCCAAATTTCCCTTTATTATCTCCCTTCCTTTTATGGGTTCGCAATCCCTACCAATTAAAAAATAACTCTCTTCCCTAATAAAAAAAACTTCTACTCTCAATTCAGTTTATAATAATATACAGACCTAGCCTCCTTATTAAACACTTATTTCAGTACAAAGATCAAGGCCTCCCAGTGGCACAGCGGTATGTCTGCGGGCTTACAATGTTAGAATCCGAGTTTCGACACCCGTGGTGGGCAGAGCACAGATAGCCCATTGTGTAGCTTTGTGCTTAATTACAAACAAATATCAACTATCTAAACTTCTGTGTTCATGATTCATGTATAAATACACGTGTAGTGACTCTAAGGTCACGTACATTAGCAAAACAAAACGACACTTAAAAACCTTGAACATTTAGGAGTATCTAATAGAACCGACCGTTCACTACTTAAACCCAGCCACTCGTCCATTCGTTCACATTCTGAAACCACGGGTCGCAGTATTTCATTGAACGAGTTTCTCTATTATCATGGCCAGGTGGTCAGGGCGATCGACTCTACATTAAAGAAAGTCTACTCGTAGCTAATGAGCACCCGACCCATAACGACTCATAAAGCTCTTTGGTTCTAAAATTGTTCTAAGTTTCACACTTAACTACTGTGTAATATATATATAATCATTGTTTTATCCGTCCGTTTACGACTTCTCTTGATAACTAAGTAAACTAGTGATTTTGATATTATATTATTATTTCAGTTAATAATCATCTTTTTATCACGATTTTCAGATTTCGCTGAAGATAGAACATTCCTAAACGTTCGAACCTTGTAAATAAAATGTTTTGTGTTTTATCAACCGTTTTCACCTTCATAATAACACATGGTACGTGTAGAAATCTGATCGTTACAACTACTGATATTATTGGTTCTGACTATAGATGGTTTTGTAGTTAGTTTTCTTTACATGAAAGTGTTGCATTAAACACGTGGGCATTCCGTTTATAGTCTCACTAATTCATCAGAAGATTATCAGTTTTGGTTCTATCTCTAATCGGTAGATGACGCTAAAGAAACACATGTACGACATCAAAATTTCAATATATTCAGAGCTCAAATTTGCGTCTGTGTTTATGTTTCGGGAGACTATACAGTAGGATAGCCTCTCTATACATTATATGAAATTACGTTAATAGATAAAATAAAAATTCAAAGAAATTCTTAAAAACAAAAAACCCTAAATAATTTTATCTATTCTTTAGGGTTTTACATAAAACACCCCCTCCCATCCTAAAATTAATTCAATAAGAAAAAAGAAACTTGCATTCGAAATTTCCTTTCACGAGAAACTAACAACAATAAAAGTGTTACACTTCGAAGCATGACAATGTTTCTAAATGACTAAAAACAATGAGAACGTGATATATATTGTTGTTGACATCTTTACGAATGAACATTAACAATGAGAATATAACACTTCAATAGTTGGGAACTTTAAGAGTGACGATCAACAAATAACAAATATGATATTTAAGATTGCTGAGATCTTTATGAAAAACTAACAACAATAAAAGTGTTACACTTCGAAGCATGACAATGTTTCTAAATGACTAAAAGCAATGAGAACGTGATATATATATTGTTGTTGACATCTTTACGAATGACC